TCACCCCCTCCCCTCCCCCTCCCCCCCCCCCCCTTTGCCCCGGACTTTGCCCCCCTCCCCCCGCCCTCCCCTCCCCCCCCCGGCCCCCGCCCCCTCCCCCGCGCCCATAAACGGGGGAGCCGCGGGTGGGGGAGGGGCGCGGAGAGCGCGGCGCGGAGGTGGGGGAGGGGCGGGGGGAGGGGCGTTTGGGGGGGTTTTGGGGGGTTTTTGGGGGATGGGGGTGGGTTTGGGGGGACGGGGGGGTTGGGGGTGGGTTTGGGGTGGTTTTGGGGAATTTTGGGGTGAAAAGGGGAATTTTGGGGTGGTTTTGGGGTTTTGAGGTGAAAAAAGGGAATTTTGGGGTGGTTTTGGGTGAAAAGGGGAATTTTGGGTGATTTTTGGGTTTTGGGGTGAAAAAGGGGAATTTTGGGGTGATTTTTGGGTTTTGGGGTGAAAAAGGGGAATTTTGGGGTGATTTGGTGGTTTTGTGATGGTGGTTTTGGGAATTTTGGGGTGATTTTTGGGTTTTGGGGTGGTTTTGGGGAATTTTGGGGTGATTTTTGGGTTTTGGGGTGAAAAAGGGGAATTTTGGGGTGGTTTTGGGTTTTGAGGTGAAAAAGGGGAATTTTGCGGTGATTTTGGGGTTTTGCGGTGGTTTTGGGGGAATTTTGGGGTGGTTTTTTGGTTTTGAGGTGAAAAAAGGGGAATTTTGGGGTGGTTTTTGGGTTTTGGGGTGAAAGAGGGGAATTTTGGGGGTGGTTTTGGGGTTTTGGGGTGTTTTGGGGGAATTTTGGGGTGGTTTTTGGGTTTTGGGTGGTTTGGGGCTGGTTTGAGGCAGTTTTGGGGCTGGTTTAGGGGGGGTTGGGGCTGGTTTTGGGGTGGTTTTGGGGAATTTTGGGGTGGTTTTTGGGTGAAAAGGGAATTTTGGGGTGAATTTGGGGTTTTGGGGTGGTTTTGGGGGAATTTTGGGGTGATTTTGGGGCTTTGAGGTGAAAAAGGGGATTTTGGGGTGATTTTTGGGTTTTGAGGTGAAAAAGGGGAATTTTGGGGTGATTTTGGGGTTTTGAGGTGAAAAAGGGGAATTTTGGGGTGATTTTGGGGTTTTGAGGTGAAAAAGGGGAATTTTGGGGTGGTTTTGGGGTTTTGGGGTGAAAAAGGGGAATTTTGGGGTGGTTTTCGTGGTTTTGGGGGTTTGGGGCTGGTTTGAGGCAGTTTTGGGGCTGGTTTAGGGGGGGTTGGGGCTGGTTTTGGGGTGCTTTGCGGGCCCTTTTTTGGGTGGTTTTGAGCCGTTTTGGGCGTTTTTGAGCCATTTTTGGGTGTTTCTGGTTATTTTCGAGCCATTTTGGGGTGGTTTTGGGGGTTTTGAGCAGTTTTGGGGTGGTTTTGAGGGTTTTTGAGCCGTTTTGGGCGTTTTTGAGCCATTTTGGGGTGTTTCTGGGTGGTTTTGGGTGGTTTTGATCCATTTTGGGGTGGTTTTGAGCCAGTTTTGGGTGTTTCTGGGTGGTTTTGGGGTGTTTTTGACCCGTTTTTGGGTGTTTTGGGGCCGTTTCAGGGTGCTTTTTAGCCATTTTTGGGTGTTTCTGGGTATTTTTGAGCCGTTTTCGGGTGGTTTTGAGCCGTTTTTGGGTGTTTTGGGGTCGTTTCGGGGTGGTTTTGACCCGTTTTTGGGTGTTTCTGGGTGTTTTTGAGTCGTTTTTGGGTGTTTTTGAGCCGTTTTTGGGTGTTTCTGGGTGTTTTTGAGCCGGTTTTGGGTGTTTTTGAGCCGGTTTTTTTTGGGTGTTTTGGGGTCGTTTCGGGGTGGTTTTGACCCGTTTTTGGGTGTTTCTGGGTGTTTTTGACCCGTTTTTGGGTGTTTCTGGGTGTTTTTGAGCCGTTTCTGGGTGTTTTTGAGCCGTTTTTGGGTGTTTCTGGGTGTTTTTGAGCAGTTTTTGGGTGTTTTTGAGCCGGTTTTGGGTGGTTTTGAGCCGTTTTTGGGTGTTTCTGGGTGTTTTTGAGCCGTTTCTGGGTGTTTTTGACCCGTTTTTGGGTGTTTCTGGGTGTTTTTGAGCCGTTTTTGGGTGGTTTTGAGCCGTTTTTTGGGTGTTTTGGGGCCGTTTCAGGTGTTCCCGGGCTCTCCCCAGGCCTCGCCATGGCCCCGCTGCCCCCCCCCCATGGTTGTGGCGTCGCTGCTGCTGCTGCTGAGCTCCAGTGAGGGCCCCCATTGGACCCATCGGGACCCATAGAAACCCCATAGAGACCCATTGGGACCCATAGAGAACCTATAGGGACCCATTGGGACCCATAGAAACCCCATACAGCCCTATAGAGAGCCATTGGGATCCAATAGGGACCCATAGGGACCCTATAGAGACCCCATAGAGACTCCATAGGGACCCATTGGGACCAATAGAGACCCCATAGAGAGCCCATAGGGACCCATTTGGACCCATAGAAACCCCATACAGCCCCATAGAGACCCCATAGAGACCCATTGGAACCCAATAGAGACCCCATAGAAACCCATTGGGACCCACAGAGACCCCATAGAGAGCCATTGGGACCCATAGAAACCCCATAGCGGCCCCGTAGGGACCCCATAGAGCGCCACAGAGACCCCATAGGGACCCAATAGAGACCCATCGGGACCCCATAGAGCCCCATAGAAACCCCGTAGAGCCCCATAGGGACCCCATAGACCCCAAAGAAACCCCATAGAGACCCACAGGGACCCATAGAGACCCATAGCCCCCATCTCACCCCCTCTCTCCCCCCCTCCCCCCCGCAGCGTCCTCCGCCGCCCCTCCCCCCACCCCCACCCGTCCCCCCCCCTCCCCCCTCCTGCCCCTCCCCCACCTCCGCGAGTATTTGGGCTCCGTGACCGGGAACCTCCTGGAGCACCTGGACCTGCCCCGGACCCACAGCAAGATCCGGTAAGGGGGGGGGGCACCCCCTAACCCACCGCTATGGGTCTGCCCCATAGCGCCCCATAACCCCACCCTATGGGTCTGCCCCATAACGCCCCCTAACTCCCCGCTATGGGTCTGCTCCACAGCACCCCCTAACCCCACCCTATGGGTCTGCCCCATAGCGCCCCATAACCCCTTCCTATGGGTCTGCCCCATAGCGCCCCATAACCCCACCCTATGTGTCTGCCCCATAGTGCCCCATAACCCCACCCTATGTGTCTGCCCCATAGCGCCCCATAACCCCACCCTATGTGTCTGCCCCATAGTGCCCCATAACCCCACCCTATGGGTCTGCCCCATAGCGCCCCATAACCCCTTCCTATGGGTCTGCCCCACAGCACCCCCTAACCCCACCCTATGGGTCTGCCCCACAGCACCCCCTAACCCCACCCTATGGGTCTGCCCCATAGCGCCCCATAACCCCACCCTATGGGTCTGCCCCACAGCGCCCCATAACCCCACCCTATGGGTCTGCCCCATAGCGTCCCATAACCCCACCCTATGGGTCTGCCCCATAGCACCCCCTAACCCCCCGCTATGTGTCTGCCCCATAGCACCCCCTAACCCCCCGCTATGGGTCTGCCCCATAGCACCCCCTAACCCCCCGCTATGTGTCTGCCCCATAGCACCCCCTAACCCCCCGCTATGGGTCTGCCCCACAGCACCCCCTAACCCCCCGCTATGGGTCTGCCCCACAGCACCCCCTAACCCCCCCGCTATGGGTCTGCCCCACAGCGCCCGTGTACGAGCAGGGCGCGGCGGCCATGCTGACCTACACCGGGATCCTCACGGACCAGCTCTACCATTGGTGGCAGGGGGAGCAGTGACCTCCGCGCCGCCAGGGGGCGCTCTGGGGCCACCCCCCCCCCCAATAAAGACCTCGCTCCCCATTGGTCCGGCTTCACGAAGGGGGCGGGGTTTATTCATAGAGGGGGCGGGGCCAACGCGAGGCCCCTCCCCCCCCTCCTTCACACGAGCTCCCCCTCCGGGGTCACGCGGGGGGCAGGGGGCGGCACCTGGAAGGGGCGGGGCCAAGCGGGGTCACGTGGAGTCAAGCCCTGCCCCATCCCCCTCCTCCCCCCCTTTTAAGCCCCGCCCCCTTTTACCTCCTCGTAGCCGCCCCAATCAACCTCGGCTTCTGATTGGTCGAACGCACCTGAGCGGCAGCCAATGGGAGAGAGCGGGGGGTGGGCGTGGTTTCCGGAAGCCCCGCCCCTTCCTCACCCCCCCTTTGACTTCCCGCGCGCTCACCCACTTCCGGTTCCGGTCCGTACTCGTTGCCGCCCCCTCGCCCGCTCCCTTTCGGCGCCGTCACTTCCGGCCCCGCCTCCCGGAAGTGACGTCGGCTGCACCAGAGCACCGCCCCCAAGATGGCGGCGAGGGCGAGGCCAACCGAGGCCGCCAGGGCCCACGTGGGAGGCGCGAAGGCTGCTGGGAAACCGGAAGTGTGAGGGAAACCGGAAGTGTCGCGAACCGGAAGTGGAGGGGTGAGACCGCCCTCACCTGCAGGGGGCGCCGTTGGCCCCGCCCCCTCCTCCGGCCAATCGCGGGGCAGCGCTGTAGGCGGGAAAAACGAAACAAGCACGTGATCGCAGCCACTTCCGGTCCCTCCCCCCTCCCCTCACACCCCCCCCTTACCGGAAGTGACGCCACGGATGACGGCGGCGGCGCTGTCGCCGCGGGCGTTGCGCGCGCGCACGGTGACGTCATAGGGCGTGGCCGGGCGCAGCCCCGTCAGCGTGTGGGAGGGGGCCGACGTGATGACGTAGGAGGGAGGGGGCGGGGCCCCGGGGACCCGAGCGCTGCGGAGGGGGGAGGGGAGGGGAGAGAACTCGTGGGTCCCTATGGGGTGCTGTGGGGCTCTATGGGGCTCTATGGGTTTATATGGAGTCTCTATGTGTCTCTATGGGGTCCCTATGTGTCCCTATGGGTCTCTATGGGGTCTCTATGGGGTCTTTATGGGTCTCTATGGGTCCCTATGTGTTCCTATGGGTCTCTATGGGTCTCTATGTTTCTCTATGTGTCTCTATGTGTCTCTATGGGTCTCTATGGGTCTCTATGGGTCTCTATGGGTCCCTATGGGTCTCTATGTGTCTCTATGGGTCTCTATGGGTCCCTATGGGTCCCTATGTGTCTCTATGGGTCCCTATGGGTCTCTATGTGTCTCTATGGGTCTCTATGGGTCTCTATGTGTCCCTATGGGTCTCTATGTGTCTCTATGGGTCCCTATGGGTCTCTATGTGTCTCTATGGGTCTCTATGGGTCTCTATGTGTCTCTATGGGTCTCTATGTGTCTCTATGTGTCTCTATGGGTCTCTATGTGTCTCTATGGGTCCCTATGGGTCCCTATGTGTCTCTATGTGTCTCTATGGGTCTCTATGGGTCCCTATGGGTCTCTATGTGTCTCTATGGGTCCCTATGGGTCCCTATGGGTCCCTATGTGTCTCTATGGGTCTCTATGTGTCTCTATGGGTCCCTATGGGTCTCTATGGGTCCCTATGTGTCTCTATGGGTCTCTATGTGTCTCTATGGGTCCCTATGGGTCCCTATGGGTCCCTATGTGTCTCTATGGGTCTCTATGTGTCTCTATGGGTCCCTATGGGTCTCTATGGGTCCCTATGTGTCTCTATGGGTCTCTATGGGTCCCTATGTGTCTCTATGGGTCTCTATGTGTCTCTATGGGTCCCTATGGGTCTCTATGTGTCTCTATGTGTCTCTATGTGTCTCTGTGTGTCTCTATGTGTCTCTATGGGTCTCTATGGGTCTCTATGTGTCTCTATGGGTCCCTATGGGTCTCTATGGGTCTCTATGTGTCTCTATGTGTCTCTATGGGTCTCTATGTGTCTCTATGGGTCTCTATGTGTCTCTATGGGTCCCTATGTGTCTCTATGGGTCTCTATGGGTCTCTATGTGTCTCTATGGGTCTCTATGGGTCCCTATGTGTTCCTATGGGTCTCTATGGGTCTCTATGTTTCTCTATGTGTCTCTATGTGTCTCTATGGGTCTCTATGGGTCTCTATGTGTCTCTATGGGTCCCACGGGTCCCACCTGAGCAGGAAGCTTTGGGCGCTGCCCCCATTGAACCCGGGGCTCCAGGAGATCCGCAGGGAGCTGGGGGTGGCCCTGGAGACGCGCAGGGAGCGGGGCGGGTCCGGGCGGTCTGGGGGGCACAGGGACCAGTACGGACCAGTATGGACCAGTATGGACCAGTATGGACCAGTATGGACCAGTACAGACCAGTACAGACCAGTACGGACCAGTATGGACCAGTATGGACCAGTACGGACCAGTATGGACCAGTATGGACCAGTACGGACCAGTGTGGACCAGTACGGACCAGTGTGGACCAGTATGGACCAGTATGGACCAGTATGGACCAGTACAGACCAGTATGGACCAGTATGGACCAGTATGGACCAGTATGGACCAGTACAGACCAGTATGGACCAGTATGGACCAGTATGGACCAGTACAGACCAGTATGGACCAGTATGGACCAGTATGGACCAGTACAGACCAGTACGGACCAGTATGGACCAGTATGGACCAGTACAGACCAGTACGGACCAGTATGGACCAGTACGGACCAGTATGGACCAGTATGGACCAGTATGGACCAGTACAGACCAGTATGGACCAGTATGGACCAGTATGGACCAGTATGGACCAGTATGGACCAGTACAGACCAGTATGGACCAGTATGGACCAGTATGGACAGGTATCCCAGTCCAGTCTATCCCATCCCAATCCCATCCCAATCCCCTCCCAGTCCCCCCCATTACCCCCCCATTCCCCCCCATTCCCCCCATACCCGCCAGGCGCAGCCGGAAGCGCCTCCTCGCCGTTCCCAGTTGGCTCCGCCCCACGCACTCCACCATTCCCAGTGTCCCGTTGCCGTCCCAGTACCCGGCATGGGCCTGGTCCCAGTTCAGGTACTGGGAGGGGGCCCGGGCCCACAACTGGGCCCAGTTCAGGGCCTGGGAGCGGAGCCGGGCCCGATCCTGGCTGATGTTGGCCACGGTCAGGAGGGCGCTGGTCCAGGGGGGGTCCGACCATTGGAGCTGCTGGAACCTGGAGGGGGGGGGAGACCATTGGGTCCATTGGGTGCCATTGGGTGCAGTTGAGTACCATTGGGTCCATTGGGTGCCATTGGGTGCCATTGGGTCCATTGGGTGCCATTGGGTGCCATTGGGTCCATTGGGTGCCATTGGTTGCCATTAGGTCGATTGGGTGCCATTGGGTGCCATTAGGTCGATTGGGTGAAATTGGGTCGATTGGGTGCCATTGGGTGCCATTAGGTCGATTGGGTGCCATTGGGTACCATTGGGTGCCATTGGGTCAATTGGGTGCCATTGGGTACCATTGGGTGCCATTGGGTCGATTGGGTGCCAATGGGTACCATAAGGTGCCATTGGGTCGATTGGGTGCCATTGGGTGCCATTAGGTCGATTGGGTGCCATTGGGTACCATTGGGTACCATTGGGTCGATTGGGTGCCATTGGACGCCATCGGGTACCATTGGGCACCATTGAGCGCCATTTGGCGCCATGGTTCCCATTGGGTCCCATTGGGTCCCATTGAGAACCATTGAGCGCCATTGGGCGCCATGGGTCCCATTGGGTGCCATTGGACACCATTGGGTGCCATGGGTCCCATTGGGTGCCGTTGGCACCATTGGGTGCCATTGGGTACCATTGAGCACCATTGAGCGCCATTGGGCGCCATGGGTCCCATTGGGCGCCATTGGACACCATTGGGTGCCATGGGTCCCATTGGGTGCCGTTGGCACCACTGGGTTCCATTGGGTCTCATTGGGTGCCATTGGGTGCCCTCAGGTACCTGCTGTCCGTGGTGCTGATGGGGCGGCCCCCTTGCTCCCAGTGCAGCTCCACGGGGGGCACCCCCCGCGCCCGGCACCCCACGGCCACGGCATCGGCTCCGTCCGGAACCAGCACCGGGATTGGCTCCGGCGCCGGCGCCGCCTCCAGCTCCGGCCCATCTGGGAATGGGGGTCAATGGGGGTGCCCTCCATTGACCCCCCATTGGGTGCCCTCCATTGACCCCCCATTGGGTGCCCTCCATTGACCCCCATTGGGTGCCCTCCATTGACCCCCATTGGGTGCCCTCCATTGACCCCCCCATTGGGTGCCCTCCATTGACCCCCCATTGGGTGCCCTCCATTGACCGCCCCATTGGGTGCCCTCCATTGACCCCCCATTGGGTGCCCTCCATTGACACCCCATTGGGTGCCCTCCATTGACCCCCCCATTGGGTGCCCTCCATTGACCCCCATTGGGTGCCCTCCATTGACCCCCCCATTGGGTGCCCTCCATTGACCCCCATTGGGTGCCCTCCATTGACCCCCCATTGGGTGCCCTCCATTGACCCCCATTGGGTGCCCTCCATTGACACCCCATTGGGTGCCCTCCATTGACCCCCCATTGGGTGCCCTCCATTGAACCCCATTGGGTGCCCTCCCTTGACCCCCCATTGGGTGCCCTCCATTGACCCCCCCCATTGGGTGCCCTCCATTGACCCCCCATTGGGTGCCCTCCATTGATGACCCCATTGGGTGCCCTCCATTGACCCCCCATTGGGTGCCCTCCATTGATGACCCCATTGGGTGCCCTCCATTGACCCCCCCATTGGGTGCCCTCCATTGACCCCCCATTGGGTGCCCTCCATTGATGACCCCATTGGGTGCCCTCCATTGACGATCCCCATTGGTTGACCCCCATTGAGTGCCCCCCTTCCATTGATGACCCCATTGGCTGCCCCCCCCATTGATGCCCCCCATCACTCCCACCCCATTGGCCACCCTCCATTCCACCCCACCCCCCACTTCCCCATTGGCTGCCCGTCCCTTGGCCCCGCCCCACTCACAGCGAATCACGAGGCGGATGACGGCGCGGGCGGGGGGCGGCACCCCTGTGTCCACGTGACACTCGTAGGCCCCGCCCATGTCCCGACGGGCTCCCGACACCCGCAGCCGCCCCACGGGGACCCCGCCGAGCGCCTCCAGCCCCACGGGGAGCCCCACGGAGCCCGGAGACAGCGCCCCCTGGTGGCGGGGAGGAATGTGGGCATGGAAGGGTCCCGTTGGGTCCCGTTGGATCTCATTGGGTCCCATTGGGTCCCATTGGATCCCATTGCATCCCATTGAGTCCCGTTGGGTCCCATTGGGTCCCATTGGATCCCGTTGGGTGCCGTTGGGTCCCATTGGATTCTGTTGGGTCCCATTGGATCCCGTTGGGTCCCATTGGATCCCATTAGGTCCCATTGGATCCCATTGGATCCCATTGGATCCCATTGGGTCCCGTTGGATCCCATTGGAACCCATTGGGTCCTGTTCGATCCCATTGGGTCCCATTGAATCCCGTTGGGTCCCATTGGGTCCCGTTGGATCCCATTGGGTCCCGTTGGATCCCATTGAGTCCCGTTGGGTCCCATTGGGTCCCGTTGGGTCCCTGCCCCATAGCCCACGCCCCACATCCCATAATAAGCCGTATCCCACCAGGCGCTGCCATCGGAGACTCCCGTCCAGCAGGGGGCGCCCTTCCGCCTCGCACTCCATCTCTACGCTCCCCCCTTCGTCCACCACCACGGGGTCGGGCGCCCGCACGATGGAGGGGGGGTCTGGGTGGGGGTCAAAGGTCAAGGTCAGGGTGCTATAGGGTGCCATAGGTGCTGTAGGTGCTATAGGGATGCTATAGGCCCTATAGGGATGCTATAAGGTGCTATAGGTCGCCATAGGGATGCTATAGGCATGCCATAGGTCCCCATGGGATACCATAGGGACGCTATAGGGATGCCACAGAGATGCCATAGGGATACAATAGGGATGCTATGGGGTGCCATAGGGATGCTATGGGGTGCTATAGGGATGCTATGGGGTGCCATAGGGATGCTATAGGATGCTATAGGGCAACATAGAGGTGCTATGGGATGCTATAGGATTCTATAGGGCAACATAGAGGTGCTATAGGATGCCATAGGGAAGCTATAGGGCTCCATAGGGATGCTATGGGGTGCCATAGGGATGCTATAGGGCGCCATAGGGATGCTATAGGGCACCATAGGGGTGCTAGAGGGTGCCATAGGGGTGCTATGGGGGTGCTATACAACACCATAGGGGTGCTATGGGGGTGCCATAGGGGTGCTATAGGGCGCCATAGGGGTGCTATAGGGCACCATAGGGATGCTATAGGGCGCCATAGGGGTGCTATAGGGCACAATAGGGGTGCCATAGGGCGCCATAGGGTGCTATGGGGCGCCATAGGGATGCCATGGGGTGCTATGGGGCGCCATAGGGTGCTATGGGGTGCCATAGGATGCTATGGGGCGCCATGGGGCTCACATTCCACGTCGAGGAGGACGCTGGCGCTGCCCTTGCCCTCGGCGTTCGCGCACTCCACCCGGTAGGAGCCGGCGTCGCTCCGGGACAGGTTCCCGATGGACAGCGAGCCCCCCGGGAGCAGCCGGTGCCGCGGCAACGGCGCTGGGGGCACCCGGCACCCAGAGGCACCCATTGGATCCCATAGAGACCCATGGCACCCATTGGATCCCAGAAAGACCCATTGGATCCCATTGAACCCCATTGGATCCCATAGAGAACCATGGCACCCATTGGATCCCAGAAAGACCCATTGGATCCCATTGAACCCCATTGGATCCCATAGAGACCCATGGCACCCATTGGATCCCAGAAAGACCCATTGGATCCCATTGAACCCCATTGGATCCCATAGAGACCCATGGCACCCATTGGATCCCAGAAAGACCCATTGGATCCCATTGAACCCCACTGGATCCCATAGAGACCCATGGCACCCATTGGATCCCATTGGTCCCATTGGATCCTATAGAGACCCATGGGACACATTGGATCCCATAGAGCCATTGGATCCCATAGAGACCCATTGGATCCCATTGAACCCCATAGAGACCCAAGGGACCCCATTGGACTCCATTGAATCCCGTAGAGACCCATGGGACACATTGGATCCCATAGAGACCCATTGGATCCCATAGAGACCCATTGGATCCCATTGAACCCCATAGAGACCCAAGGGAGCCCATTGGACCCCATTGAATCCCGTAGAGACCCATGGGACACATTGGATCCCATAGAGACCCATTGGATCCCATAGAGACCCATTGGATCCCATTGAACCCCATAGAGACCCACTGGATCCCATTGGACCCCATCCCCATTATATCCCGTTGGATCCCATTATAACCCTATTGGATCCCATTGGATCCCACTATAACCTCATTATATCCCATTGGATCTCATTGGATTCCATTATACCCCATTATATCCCACTCGATCCCATTGGATCCCATTATAATCCATTATAACCCCATTATAACCCCATTACCCCCCATTATAACCCCATTATCCCCCATTACCCCCCATTATAACCCCATTATCCCCCATTATAACCCCATTATCCCCCATTACCCCCCATTATAACCCCATTATAACCCCATTATAACCCCATTATAACCCCATTATCCCCCATTATAACCCCATTATCCCCCATTATAACCCCATTATAACCCCATTATAACCCCATTATAACCCCATTATCCCCCATTACCCCCCATTATAACCCCATTATAACCCCATTATAACCCCATTATAACCCCATTATAACCCCATTATAACCCCATTACCCCCCATTATAACCCCATTATCCCCCATTACCCCCCATAGCGCACCCATGCGGACGCCGGCGCGGCTCCAGGCGCAGTCGCGGGGGGGGGGATGCGCGTCCCCGAGCAGCGGCAGCAGCGCCCGGCCCTGCTCCCGAGCCAGCACCCGGCCCCCGGGGGGCGCGCGGAGCAATGGGGGGTCTGGGGGGGGGGAGGCATTGGCACCCATTGACACCCATTGACACCCATTGACTCCCATTGACTCCCATTGACACCCATTGACTCCCATTGACTCCCATTGACACCCATTGACTCCCATTGACACCCATTGACTCCCATTGACTCCCATTGGCACCCATTGACACCCATTGACACCCATTGATACCCATTGACACCCATTGACACCCATTGACACCCATTGACACCCATTGACTCCCATTGACACCCATTGACACCCATTGAGAGCCATTGACACCCATTGACACCCATTGACACCCATTGACACCCATTGAGAGCCATTGACATCCATTGACACCCATTGACACCCATTGAGAGCCATTGACATCCATTGATACCCATTGGCACCCATTGACACCCATTGACACCCATTGACACCCATTGATACCCATTGACACCCATTGACACCCATTGAGAGCCATTGACTCCCATTGACACCCATTGAGAGCCATTGACACCCATTGACACCCATTGAGAGCCATTGACACCCATTGACACCCATTGAGAGCCATTGACATCCATTGATACCCATTGGCACCCATTGACCCCCATTGACACCCACTGACACCCATTGACATCCATTGACACCCATTGATACCCATTGAGAGCCATTGATATCCATTGACGCCCATTGATGCCCATTGACCCCCATTGACACTCATTGACACCCATTGACCCCTATTGATACCCATTGACACCCATTGACACCCATTGACACCCATTGACCCCCATTGACTCCATTGACTCCCATAGACTCCCATTGAGCCCCATAGACTCCCAGTGACCCCCAGTGACCCCCAGTGTCCCCATTGACCCCCATTGACCCCCATCGCCCCCCACCGCCCCCCCCCACTCACGCCTCACGCTCAATCTGTGCCCGGCTCTCACGGTGACGCCGAGGGCGGGGCTGGCGGCCGCGCAGGTGATCACGTGACCCTGGTCCTCCAGCGCCACCTGCAGGCGGAGCCGCGACCCCACCGAGACCCCCCCGTGGGGGGCGGGGCTTGGGGGGAGGGGCTCCCCCGGCTCCCTGCCATAGGGGTCAATGGGGGCCCATAGGGGTCAATGGGGGGCCCATAGGGGTCAATGGGGGGGCAAATAGGGGTCAATGGGGGCCCATAGGCGTCAGTGGGGGCCCCATAGGGGTCAATGGGGGGGCTCATAGGGGTCAATGGGAGGGCCCATAGGGGTCAATGGGGGCCCATAGGGGTCAATGGGGGGGCAAATAGGGGTCAATGGGGGGGTCTATGGGGATCTATGGGGGGCTATGGGGTCTATGGGTGGCTATGGGGTCTACGGAGTGTATGGGGGCTATGGGGTCTATGGGAGTCAAGGGGGGACTGTGGGGAGCTATGGGGGTCTTTAGGAGGCTATGGGGGTCTGTGGGGGACTATGGGGGTCTGTGGGGGACTATGGGGTCTATGGGGGTCAATGGGCCTCTATGGGGCTCTATGGGGTCTATGGGGCTCCATGGGCTCTATGGGGCTCTATGGGGTCTATGGGGCTCCATGGGCTCTATGGGGTCAATGGGCCTCTATGGGGCTCTAAGGGGTCTATGGGGCTCTATGGGGCTCTATGGGGCTCTATGGGGTCAATGGGGCTCTATGGGGTCCATGGGGCACCCACGTGCGTCCGTGGTGGTGCCAGGTGAGGGTGGGGGCGGGGTGGCTGCTCCCGGTGACGCAGGTGAGGAGCAGGCGCTGGCCCAGGCGGGGCTCCCGGGGGGAGGCGCTGATGGAGACGGACTGGGGGGGGACTGCGGGCAGAGAGACCCATAGGGACCCATAGAGACCCATAGGGACCCATAGAGACCCATAGAGACCCATAGAGACACATAGAGACCCATAGAGACACATAGAGACACATAGAGACCCATAGAGACACATAGGGACCCATAGAGACACATAGGGACACATAGAGACACATAGAGACACATAGAGACACATAGAGACACATAGAGACCCATAGAGACACATAGGGACCCATAGAGACCCATAGAGACCCATAGGGACCCATAGGGACCCATAGAGACCCATAGAGACCCATAGAGACACATAGAGACACATAGAGACCCATAGAGACCCATAGGGACCCATAGGGACCCATAGAGACCCATAGAGACCCATAGAGACCCATAGAGACCCATAGAGACCCATAGAGACCCATAGGGACCCATAGAGACCCATAGAGACCCATAGAGACCCATAGGGACACATAGAGACCCATAGAGACCCATAGGGACACATAGAGACACATAGAGACCCATAGAGACCCATAGGGACACATAGAGACCCATAGAGACACATAGAGACCCATAGAGACCCATAGAGACACATAGAGACCCATAGAGACCCATAGGGACCTATAGAGACCCATAGGGACACATAGGGACCCATAGAGACCCATAGAGACCCATAGGGACCCATAGAGACCCATAGAGACCCATAGAGACCCATAGGGACCCATAGGGACCCATAGAGACCCATAGAGACCCATAGGGACCCATAGGGACCCATAGAGACCCATAGAGACCCATAGGGACCCATAGGGACCTATAGAGACCCATAGGGACCTATAGAGACCCATAGAGACCATAGAGACCATAGAGACCCATAGGGACCCATAGAGACGTATAGGGACCCATAGAAACCATAGAGATCCATAGAGACCCATAGGGACCCATAGAGACCCATAGAGACACATAGAGACCCATAGAGACCCATAGAGACCCATAGATACCCATAGATACCCATAGAGATCATAGAGCCCCAGTGAAGCCCCATAGAGCCCCATAGAGCCCCAGTGAAGCCCACAGAGGCGCACAGAGGACGCGGAGCCGGGCTCCTGCGCGGGGCGCCCCCTGCTGGTGGGCGGTGTCAGCGCAGGTGAAGGCGGCGCCGTTGTCCCCGGGGCTCAGGCGCAGCTCCAGGCTCCGCCCCCAGCCCGGGATTGGCTCCTGGAGGGCCCGGCCCTCCTGCGGGACCCATAGAGACCCATTGGGACCCATAGGGACCCATAGAGAGACCCATTGGGACCCATAGGGACACATAGAGACCCATTGGAACCCATAGAGACCCATAGGAGCCATAGCGACCCATAGGAGCCATAAGGACCCATAGGACCCATAGCGACCCCTAGGATCCATCGGGACCCATTGGGACCCATAGCACCCATAGGGACCCATAGAGACACATAGGGATCCATAGGACCCATAGCGACCCATAGGAGCCATAGCGACCCATAGGGACCCATAGGACCCATAGCAACCCCTAGGATCCATAGGGACCCATAGAGACCCATAGCACCCATAGGGACCCATAGAGACCCATAGGAACCCATAGAGACCCATAGGGACCCATAGGACCCATTGGGACCCATAGGGACCCTAACCCAGTCCCGCCCAGTCCCCCCCATTGGCTCCCACCTTGCTCCAGACGAGGCGGGGGGGGGGGTGCCCCCCACGTGCGTAGCACCCCAACCGCACGAGCTCCCCCACCCGGAAGGAGGCGTTGGGGGGCGGGGCCTCGACCCACAACGAATCGGGGGGGTCTGGGGGGGGGGAATGGCCCCATTGATTCTCATTGACCCCCATTGATTCCCGTTAACCTCCATTGACCCCCATTGAGTCCCATTGATCCCCATTGAGTCCCATTGACCCACATTGAGTCCTATTGAGCCCCATTGACCCCCATTGAGTCCCATTGCGCCCCATTGCCACCCATTGATCCCTATTGACCGCCATTGAGCCCCATTGAACTCCATTGACCCCCTTTGATCCCCATTGACCCCCATTGCTCCCCATTGCCCCATTGATCCCCATTGATCCCCATTGACCCCATTGACTGCATTGACCCCATTGATCCTCATTAATCCCCATTGACCCCCATTGATCCTCATTGACCCCCATTGACCCCCATTGAGCCCTATTGAACTCCATTGACCACCATTGACCCCCATTGATCCCCATTGCCCCTATTGACATCTGTTAAGCCCCATTGGCCCCCATTGACCCCATTGATCCCCACTGACCCCCACTGAGCCCCATTGAACTCCATTGATCCCCATTGCCCCCCATTGCCCCCCATTGCCCCCCATTGCCCCCCACTGCCCCCCATTGCCGCCCTTGATCCCCATTGGCTCACGGGTGATGCTCAGAACGAGGCTGGCCCTGGCCACGCCCACCCCCGGCACCGCCGCCTCGCACACCAGGGGGCGCCCGTGCTCGCTGCGCCGCGCCACCAGCGTCAGGTTCGATGACGTCACCGTGCCCCCCCCGGGGGCCTGGGGGGGAATGGGGGGTCATTGACACCCATTGACCTCCATTGAGCCCCATAGGCCCCCATAGACCCCGTAGACCTCCATTGACACCCATTGACCCCCATAGACCCCGTAGACCTCCATTGACACCCATTGACCCCCATAGACCCCATAGACCCCATTCAGCCCCATTGAACCCCATTGACCCCCATTGACCCCATGGACCCCGATTGACCCCCATAGATTCCCCCATAGACCCCCGTTGACCTCATTGACCCCCATTGATCCCATTGACCTCATTGACGCCCATTGACCACATCTACCCCATTGACCCCCATTGAGCCCCATTGATCCCATTGACCCCATGGACCCCCATAGATGCCCCCATAGATCCCCGTTGACCCCATTGACCGCACAGACCCCATTGACCCCCATTGATCCCATTGAGCCCCATTGACTGGATCGACCCCATTGGCCCCCATTGACCGGATCGACCCCATTGACCCCCATCGACCCCATTGACCCCATAGATGCCCCATTGACCTCCATCGACCCCATTGACCCCATAGATGCCCCATTGACCCCCATCGACCCCATTGACCCCATAGATGCCCCATTGACCTCCATCGACCCCATTGACCCCATAGATGCCCCATTGACCCCCATCGACCCCATTGACCCCATAGATGCCCCATTGACCTCCATCGACCCCATTGACCCCATAGATGCCCCATTGACCCCCATCGACCCCATTGACCCCATAGATGCCCCATTGACCTCCATCGACCCCATTGACCCCATAGATGCCCCATTGACCTCCATCGACCCCATTGACCCCATAGATGCCCCATTGACCCCATAGATGCCCCATTGACCCCCATCGACCCCATTGACCCCATAGATGCCCCATTGACCCCCATCGACCCCATTGACCCCATAGATGCCCCATTGACCCCCATCGACCCCATTGACCCCATAGATGCCCCATTGACCTCCATCGACCCCATTGACCCCATAGATGCCCCATTGACCTCCATCGACCCCATTGACCCCATAGATGCCCCATTGACCCCCATCGACCCCATTGACCCCATAGATGCCCCATTGACCCCCATCGACCCCATTGACCCCATAGATGCCCCATTGACCCCCATCGACCCCATTGACCCCCATAGATGCCCCATTGACCCCCATAGATGCCCCATTGACCCCATAGATGCCCCATTGACTCCCCCATTGCCCCCCATCGCCCCCCGTTCGCAGTCCTCCGGCCCGGCAGGGGGCGCACCGGCGCCGTGCTGCTCTCGCTGGCGCGCAGCTCCCTGCCCCCCAACCACCAGCGCAGGCGCGCGGGGGGGTTGCTGGGGGCGCTGGCGCACGTCAGGCTCAGGGACTCGTTCTCGGCGCCCCCCCGCGGCCCCACCAGCGTCACCTCCGAGGGGGGGTCTGGGACCCATGGAGACACGTTGGGACCCATAGGGAGCCATTGGGACCCATAGGGAGCCATTGGGACCAATTGGGACCCATTGGGACCCATAGGGAGCCATTGAGACCCATTGAGACCCATAGACCCCCATTGCCCCCCATTGACCCCCTTGTCCTCCATTGCTCCCCATTGCCCCCATTGCCTCCCATTGTCCCCATTACCTCCATAGCCCCCATGACCCCATAGCCCCCCATTAAATGATTGCCCCCATTCCCCCCATACCCCCCATTACCCCCATAGCCCCCATTGCCCCCATTGCCTCCCATAGCCCCCATTGCCCCCCATTACCCCCATTACCCCCATAGCCCCCCATTACCCCATTGCCCCCTATTACCCCCATAGCCCCCATTGCCCCCCATTACCCCATTGCCCCCTATTACCCCCATTATCCCCATTCCCCCCCATACCCCCCATTACCCCCATAGGCCCCATTCCCCCCATTCTCCCCCATTCCCCCATAGCCCCAATTGCCCCCATTGCCCCCCATCACCTCATTGCCCCCCATAGCCCCCATTGAGCCCAATTGCCCCCATTCCCTCCATCACCCCCCATTGCCCCCCATCACCTCATTGCCCCCCATAGCCCCCATTGAGCCCAATTGCCCCCATTCCCTCCATCACCCCCCATTGCCCCCCATCGCCCCAATTGCCCCCATTGCCCCCCATCACCTCATTGCCCCCATAGCCCCCATTGTGCCCAATTCCCCCCATTCCCTCCATCACCTCATTGCCCCCATAGCCCCCATTGCGCCCAATTGCCCCCATTGCCCCCCATCGCCCCCCATAGCCCCATCGGCTCACAGGTCACGTGCAGGGTGACGCTGGCGCTCCCCCCGGCCGCCAGGGGGCGCTGTGTCTGCACGCGGCACCGCAGGGTGGCGCCGTCGTCCCCCCGGCTCACGGCCACCGCCAGGGGGCTCCGCGTCACCGCCAGGGGGCGCTGCGTCAGCCAGGGCGCTGCCAGCGGCCTCCCGTCCTGCAGGGGGCGCCCAGTGACACCCAGTGACACCCAGTGACCCCCATTGACACCCATTGATACCCATTGATACCCATTGACACCCATTGACACCCATTGATACCCATTAACACCCATTGACCCCCATTGACACCCATTGATACCCATTGACACCCATTGACCCCCATTGACTCCCATTGATACCCATTGAGACCCATTGAGACCCATTGACCCCCATTGACACCCATTGACACCCATTGACCCCCATTGACTCCCATTGATACCCATTGAGACCCATTGGCTCCCATTGACACCCATTGACTCCCATTGACACCCATTGGCTCCCATTGACACCCAGTGACACCCATTGGCTCCCATTGACACCCATTGACACCCAGTGACACCCAGTGACACCCATTGGCACCCATTGGCTCCCACTGACACCCGTTGACACCCAGTGACACCCATTGGGTCCCATTCACACCCATTGGCTCCCGTTGGCTCCCATTAACACCCATTGACACCCATTGGCTCCCATTGGCTCCCATTAGCTCCCATTACCCCCTTACCCCCATTGCCCCCATCAGCCCCATTACCCCACTGCCCCCCATTGCCCCCATTAACCCCATTGTCCCCATTACCCCATTGCCCCCATTGCCCCCCATTGCCCCATTACCCCCATTGCCCCATTACCCCCATTGCCCCCCATTACCCCCATTGCCCCATTACCCCCATTGCCCCATTACCCCCATTGCCCCCCATTACCCCCATTGCCCCATTACCCCCATTGCCCCATTACCCCCATTGCCCCCATTACCTTGTCCCAATGGAGGCTGGGAGGGGGGTTCCCCCCCCGCACGACGCACACCAGCTCCAGGGTGTCCCCCGCCCGCACGTGGGGCGAATCCAGGCCCTCGATGGTGGGGGGGCCCGGGGGGACTGGGGGCAATGGGTCAGAATGGGGGGGATCCATTGGGGTCAATGGGGGGGTTCAATGGGGATCAATGGGGCTCAATGGGGTTCAATGGGGGTCAATGGGGTTCAATGGGGTTCAATGGGGGTCAATGGTGGTTAATGGGGGTCGAAGTGGGTCAATGGGGTTCAATGGGGATCAATGGGGGTCAATGGGGGTCAATGGGGGTCAATGGGGGTCGATGGGTGCTCACAGAGGACGTCAAGGACGAGCGCGGCCTCGGTCGGGGCAGCCCCGGCCTCATTGGATGCGCTGCAGAGCAGGCGCTGTCCATGGTGCTGGCGCTGTGGGGTCAGCCTGGGGCAATGGGGGCAATGGGGGTCAATGGGGGGCAATGGGGGTCATTGTAAGTCAATGGGGTCAATGGGGGGCAATGGGGGCAATAGGGGGCAATGGAGTCAATGGGATCCAATGGGGAACAATGGAGTCAATGGGGGGCAATGGGGGCGATGGGGGGTGATGAGGGTCAATGGAGTCAATGGGGGTAAATGGGGGTCAATGGGCTTTAATTGGCCTCAATGGGACTCAATGGGCTACACTGGTCTATACTGGTCCATACTGGTCTATACTGGTCCATACTGGTCTATACTCGTCCATAATGTTCCATACTGGTCGATACTGACCCATACTGATCCATACTGGTCTATACTGGTCTATACTGGTCCATAATGTTCCGTACTGGTCCATACTGGTTTATACTGGTCTATATTGGTTTATACTGGTTTATACTGGTCCATACTGGTCTATACTGGTTTATACTGGTTTATACTGGTCCATACAGGTCTAGGGGGCGCTCACCTGACGGTGACTTCAGCACTGCTCAGTTTCGGGTGGGAGCCCTCGAAGATGCGGGGGGAGGCGTCAGGCAGCGGCTGCCCCCCTGTGCCAAAATCACCCTAAATCAGCCCAAAAGCAGCCCAAATCACCCCAAACCACCAAAAAACACCCAAAACACCCCAAAAATCACCCCAGAACACAAAAAATCACCCCAAAACACCTCGAAACCACCCCAAAATCAGCCAAAACACCCCAAAATCACCCAAAACCACCCGAAAATCACCCCAGAACACAAAAAATCACCCCAAAACACCTCGAAACCACCCCAAAATCAGCCAAAACACCCCAAAATCAGCCAAAACCACCCGAAAATCACCCCAGAACACAAAAAATCACCCCAAAACACCTCGAAACCACCCCAAAATCAGCCAAAACACCCCAAAATCAGCCAAAAACACCCTAAAATCACCCCAAATCAACCCCAAACACCGCAAAACAGACCAAATCTCCCCAAACACCCCAAAATCCCACAAAACACCCCAAAATCACCCAAAACATCCCAAAATCAGCCAAAACCACCCTAAAATCAACCCAAATCAACCCCAAACACCGCAAAACAGACCAAATCTCCCCAAACACCCCAAAATCCCCCAAAACACCCCAAAATCCCCCAAAACACCCCAAAATCAGCCAAAACCACCCGAAAATCACCCCAAATCAACCCCAAAAAACCCCAAAACAGACCAAATCTCCCCAAACACCCCAAAATACCCCAAAACACCCCAAAATCAGCCAAAACCACCCTAAAATCACCCCAAATCAACCCCAAAAAAAACCAAAACAGACCAAATCTCCCCAAACACCCCAAAATACCCCAAAACACCCCAAAATCACCCAAAACATCCCAAAATCAGCCAAAACCACCCTAAAATCAACCCAAATCAACCCCAAAAAAACCCAAAACAGACCAAATCTCCCCAAACACCCCAAAATCCCCAAAACACCCCAAAATCACCCAAAACACCCCAAAATCTCCCAAAACACCCCAAAATCACCCAAAACACCCCAAAATCACCCCAAAAAACCAAAATCACCCAAAACACCCCCAAATCTCCCCAAACACCCCAAAATCACCCGGAACCCCCCCAAATCCCCCAAAACACCCCCAAATCACCCAAAATGACCCAAACCAGACCAAAATTCACTCCCCTCCCCCCAAATGACCCCAAATGACCCCAACCTCCCCCCCGCGTTGACGTCACCGAGCGTGAGAACGAGGCGCGGGGCGGGGCGTGCGTCGTGGGCGTGGCAGCGCACGTGCACCTCGGCCCCGCCCACCCAGGGCAGCTCCGCCCCCGGCGGCAGCTCCAGCGCCGGCGGCCCCGGAGGCACTGGGGGGGGGGGGGGGAGACCTATAGAGCCCCATAGAGCCCCCATAGAGCCCCATAGAGCCCCATAGAGCCCCCATAGAGCCCCATAGAGCCCCATAGAGCCCCCATAGAGCCCCCATAGAGCCCCATAGAGCCCCATAGAGCCCCTATAGAGCCCCATAGAGCCCCATAGAGCCCCATAGAGCCCTATAGAGCCCCTATAGAGCCGCATAGAGCCCCATAGAGCCCCTATAGAGCCCCATAGAGCCCCATAGAGCCCCTATAGAGCCCCATAGAGCCCCTATAGAGCCCCATAGAGCCCCATAGAGCCCCTATAGAGCCCCATAGAGCCCCTATAGAGCCCCATAGAGCCCCCATAGAGCCCCATAGAGCCCCATAGAGCCCCATAGAGTCCTATAGAGCCCCCATAGAGCCCCTATAGAGCCCCATAGAGCCCCATAGAGCCCCCATAGAGCCCCATAGAGCCCCCATAGAGCCCCATAGAGCCCCATAGAGCCCCTATAGAGCCCCATAGAGCCCATAGAGCCCCATAGAGCCCTATAGAGCCCCATAGAGCCCCTATAGAGCCCCATAGAGCCCCATAGAGCCCCATAGAGCCCTATAGAGCCCCATAGAGCCCCTATAGAGCCCCATAGAGCCCCATAGAGCCCCATAGAGCCA